GGGGGGGGGGGGGGGGGCGAAAAATGGTGCCACTTTTGCGGCCGTACAAATGTCGTTTGACCGAGATAACTCACCGCCGGACACTTCATTTGGAGACGCTGAGTGGTCAATAGCGACGATGCCATCTTCTTTATTTGTAGCCGGCGCTTTCGGTTGCCGCAGCGTCGAATAAATAATCCTGAAATGCCACCTGGGTAAAAAAATATCGGCTGATTCTAGTTGTTTTTTTGTTATGGGTTTTTTTTTTTTCGTGCTGGAGCCCATCGCAGCTGTCTTTGGGCAGTAGGCGGAGGACACCCTGAACCGGTTGCCAGCCAATCACAGGGCACTCAGACTCACACCTAGATCGGAAGAGCAGTGTTCAATCAGCCTGCCATGCATGTTTTTTGGAATGTGGGAACTCCACACAGGGAGGCTGGAGCTGGAATTGAACCCGGTACCTCTGCACTGTGAAGTCAACGTGCTAACCACTTGACTACCGGGCCAACAATTGTAATATAGATTCATGTCATGCTTGTGTTTATAAAAAAATAAATAAATACATGGGAGGAGGACCTTGAAAAAAAAAACGACATTAAAATCGCAATTGTAATATTATGGCAAAAAAACGTTTTCAAAATCATTCCGCCTGACTCATATCTCTGATGCAGACGTATTAACCACTCGCCCACTGTGCTGCTGACTTGTGAGAATGAAACCCTGACTCATATCTCTGATGCAGATGTACCAACCACTCGTCCACTGTGCTGCTGACTTGTGAGAATGAAACCAAAAGGCCAATAGTAGCCTTTCTCTGCACTAATAGTCAAATGAATTGATGAGCAATCCATCACTAGGAAATGGTCCCCCCCCCACCCCCCAAAAAAAGACTCAAAGAAATGGCTATGAATCCACTTTGCGAATCTATAAGGAGTAAAAGTCTAATTTGTCACTTGCGACAGTCCACCTGATCGTTGCCGTATTTCAGCCATATTGGAAGGACTCGCTCCAGCTTGCGTGCGTGTCTGCGCGCGCGCGTTTGTTTGTCAAGTGGTGCTTGAAAAGTGTAATAAGGCAGTCAGAAAAAAAAAACAGTTCCTGGGTGACAGCGGCTTTATCGCGCACTGCCTCATAAAGTCCCATCATATCTATTC